ATGAAAGTCGACTAAGGGGGGTAATCACAACATAGGTCAATTGATCTACCCGAGGGAGGGGGTGCAGAGCAAATTTGAGCCACGCGAACTGACCTCCAGTGCCTCCTGATTCGCAGACTGACATCCTAGCCAATCAAAATCATCTCCATGCATTACACTACGTCTCAAAGCCTCCGCAACTCTTACTGCATTCAGTCCTTTCTCCAATATCAAATATTTGGCTTTTACATTCACCAAAAGCCTTTTTTTGATTAAATCTCAAAATGATCAAAAAGTTCTAATAATATACATAAACAATTTGACTTAAAAAGTCAACTTTAATCGAGATTAAGAATTCTTTTTTTGTTTTTCTAAATTTCACAAATTCTTGAACTTGTGCATAATTTTTGCAGCTTTATAGATTAGTAAAAATAGGTAAAATGATACTTAAATATTAAAGATAACCATTTTACATACTATAGGAGCACCAATTCACAGAACATTAAAGTTTTTGTGAAATACTTAAATTTGTGCTTTTATTGTGTTTTATTATTAAAGTTCTTCACAAAAACTATTTTGCTTTGAGAATCAATGCTTATACAATATGCAGGGAATGCAGGTCAGTTCACGGGGTTCATAGTTACTCTGCACTGCACATCCTCCTAGGTCTCCTTTATATCACAGCTGTAATAATGATTAATCTTTTATTAAATGTTACGTTTCTGCGTAAATAAATAATGTTTGATTTGATTTTTAAAAAGTTTTATATGCTTAAATGTGGTAAATAAATATTTTTTGGGAGAAAATAATTAAAGGGGGGGGGGGCACAAAAGTATTACGTTCTCCGGAAAATTTAAACAGCTTGTTTAAACATAACTTAGAATTGTCGTAGAACGCTGATTTTTTGCATGTAAATCCAAAAATATGTATTACAGCAAAATTCAGTTTTATATACAGGGTGCACCACGAAACATGACAGTTGGCGAATAGTTACAAATGTCTTCTTCCATAATTTGTTAAGTTGTTTGATACCAAAGATAATAATAACACATTATATGGAAGTCATTTTATAGTAACATTGTTTCAAAGCAAAATATATTTGAGTAAAAAGAATTTTTTTAACGAAATAAACTGCAAAAAGTCTTTATTATCTAATAAAGTGTATGGAAGAAGACATTCAAAACTATTCACCAACTGTAATGTTTCGCGGGACACCCTGTGAATCCGAGCAAAAGTGCGTGCGCGATTTTTAGTGGAAAATGTTCCTTTTTCAAATTTTTGCAATCTTGCCAATTTAAAATGAACTTTTATTCGCTTATAGAGGTTTTAAATCATGTAACTAGTGCATTTTTTGAGATAAAACCCTCAAATCCCCGCGCGCGTGTGCATTTTAGAATATACAGGGTGTCCCACGAAACATGACGACTTGAAAGTCGTCTTTGATATTTGAATTTATTTGTGACATTTAGTCTTCTATCTACTTTAACATGTATGATTCTTGAAACAATTATCACATAATTCTCCTAGTCCTGGCATTTCCGAAAAGTGGTCTGCGTTTTTTGTGCTTTCAATATTACCGGAGATATAAAGAGTTTGGTTCAGATTTCAATTTTGTTAAATAAAAGCAAAATTGTCGAAATCTGAACGAAATTCTTCATATCTCGGGCAATATTGAAAGCACAAAAAAGGCAGACCACATTTTGGAAATGGCAGGACAAGGGAAATTTTGTGATTATTATCTCTAGAAATTTACTTCTAAAATTAGGTT